ATTTTAAAAATTTAAAAAAAGGATAAAATTTTAAAAACCCACATACACTCCAACTAAAGCTGAGCGGTGACATCGGCAGCTGCACACGGTGGGGAGGCAGGAGAGAACTCATCCTGAAAAGTTAGTAAACAAACAGCAGCCACCACCATCATGGGAAGAGGGTGGAGAGAGGCTCATAATACAGAGTTGCTGCAATATATTAAAAATACCCAGTTTTCAACAATAACAACAAAAATATAAGGCACGAGGAGAGACAGGAGTGGATGCATGCACAGGAAACAAGGGCCTTCAATGGAAACTCTCTCCGGAGCGGATGAACAGGAGTTACCCAGGGTAGGGAATGGGGGGGAGATGGGGAAAGGGAAGAACAGTTCCAGGCGAAGGGAAAAGGCTGAGATGAAACAGCTTGTTCTCTTTTGGCAACTGAAAGCAGTAGCTCTTTTCCATGGGCCCTAGTGTATCTTCAGAAACCAGTGCGTGGTTCCTTAAAAGAGGTCTAAACAAACAGTATGCGAAACCTAATCACTCCTGGGAGGTAGTCTGACTTAACTTGGATGGATAAAGGTTGCAGGGAGGAGACAGATGGCTTTCTTATCCTCATGGTTGTACTTACTTTAGACAAAGTAATGGCTCACCATATAGTTCTCAGAATAGTCTCCAAGCACAAAATGCAAAGACCATCTCTTCCTCAGCAATAATGGACATATAAAAAAAATTCATCATTTTTTTTCTACTTCTTTATTGTTTAAAGTATTACGTAGTATTACATGTCTCTTTTTCCCCTATTGACTCTCCTCGGCCAGCCCTACTCCCCAGCACATGCCTTCACCTCCCTAGTGTCTGTGTTCATTGGTTATGCTTATACTAATGGCCTGGTCACAAAATTTATGCACATTAAAAGGGAATTAAGTGGAATATTTTAATATTGCTATTTGTCCTTTCTCTATAATAGAAGTGTCAGAGATGAAAGAAAATTAGTAAAACGTATATGAAAATCTCCCTCCTGTCAGAGTTTGGGGTGCACCGTGGAACCTGGGGTCAAATCCTCGCCCACCACCTGCATGTGCTTCAAAAACGCAGGAGACCCACACCTGGCCAGCCCCATCCCCATTGGGTGAGAACTAGACCGGGCTGGCCCCACCCCCGTCAAGCCCCTCCAGGCAGGGCAGTGCAACCTCAGGGCCCCCAGCCTGGTGCCGGGTGGGGAGCACGGCCTGAGGTCCCCCCTCAATCCCCACTGAGCAGAGGGCACTGCCTGAGGTACCTGTCAAGCCCCAATAGGCAGGGGGCACAGCCTGAGGTCCCCCCTCAATCCCCACTAGGCAGAGGGCACTGCCTGAGATCCCCGGTCAATCCCCGCTGGGTGGGGGCCATGGCCTGAAGTCCTCTGTCAAGACCCGCTGGGTGGGTGGGGGGGCGTGGCCTGAGGCCCCCTGGCCCAGCGTTGGGGGGGGGGCACAGTCTGAGGTCTCCCAGCCCAGTGGCAGAGCATGGGGAATAGCCTGAGGCCCCTGTCAAGCCCTGCCAGGCTAGGGGCATGGCCTTAGGTCCCTGACTTCAGCCAGGCACCATGCAGCCTCACTTTCCTGCTATTCTGTTAGAACAGCATGGCGTCCAGGCTAATTTGCATATTCCTCTATTTTTACGAGGATGCATTCTCAGCAGTGTCCTCTTGTTTAGGACAAAAGCAAGATCGGTAGCAACTTGTTGTGATGGTTCAGGATTTATGGAGACCAGTAATGTTTACAGCACCTTAATTGTTTAAAGAATATTGTCTCTGTGCCAATGATAGAGGACGCATCCTCCCTGAAACATGCTTTTGTCATTTCTCTCTCTCTCTTTTTTTTTTCTCTCAGAATTAGATGTTTCTGTGTCAAAAATGTTGGCCTGTCTCTTGTATTAAAGACAGACTCTTGAGCCGTTCATGTCATGTAATACTGTCATATAGCACTGCTGTGAAGTCTGAACAACTTTATTGGTGACGGTGAGCTTGAAAGGTGGTTGCTGATTGAAACTGGATTCTTTGTAGCATCACTGATACTCTGGGTGAAAGAAAGTGGCATGACTTTCCGTGGCCCACTTTTTTCTGAACACTGGCAGTACCTCCGCTTTCCTGTCCTTAATGACCGCAGAATGGTGTTGTCACACAGGGATCCTTTTGACACAGCTACTCTCAATGGAACAGGAGAGTCACGTTTGTTACAATCTGCGGGGAGAGTTGCCAAAGCCAAGTCCCCAAAGGCTGGAACCAACACCTGACATAGCGTTTCTACCCTTGTTGTCTACTTCATCTCTCCCCTCACCCCCCGACCTTTTTTTTTTTTTTTTTTAATAATCCTTTATTGCTGAAACTATTACATATGTCCCCCATTTTCCCCCATTGACCCTCCTTCATCCCACCCAGGCCTTCAGCACCCTATTGTCTGTGTCCATGGGCTTTGCATATATACATACAAGGTCTTTGGTTGATTACCTCCCACTCACCCATCCACCCTTCCCCCGCCTTCCCTCTGAGATTCCGCACTCTGTTCCATGCTTCCAGTGTCTGGATCCACTCTGTTCAACAGTTTATTTTGTTACACGGATTCCACATATGAGTGAGATCATGTGATACTTGTCTTTTTCTGACTTATTTCACTTAGCATGACAATCTCCAGTTCCCTCCATGCTGTCTTGAAGGGTAAGAGATTCTGAACTTACTCTTCCCTTGACTTCTATATTTCTACATTTAATTCTATTGTTGAATATTCCTTTTGATTTTTCTTTACTAGTATGCTGGATGAACCTTCCACATGGATACTTTTCAGGTTTGTGACCTAAGATCCTTTTCTTTCTCATTCTGTCCCCAGAGAACTAGATCATTCTAATCAACCTCTTGTGGGCTTTGTATTCCAAATCTGTACCTTCAACTCCAGCATTCTTCCCTAAACACCTTTAAGCTATCTCAAACTTGGTGTCTTATAGAAACTTTATATTTAACATGTTCAAACATGAACTTACCCTTTCTAAAATGGCTATGATTTCTTTTGATTAATACTGCCATCAATATCCAAGCCAATGCCTAGGATCAATTAATCAGTAACCAAATCTGGGTGATTTCATCTGTTCACATCGCTTCTGTGTACCTCTCCATCGAGCTTCCTATTGCTACTGCCTTAGTTCAGGCCTTCATCTCCCCACATGTTCAAAGAACAGTTGAGCTGGAATATTGACCCATCTCTTCTTCCCCTGGCTTCCATGCAGACTCTGTCTTACTGGCAGAGGGAACCTGTTGATATTGCTTACTCTTCTGCTTAAAAAGCCTGAATGGTGTCCTGAGAATTACACAGAATAAATTTCAAAGCCCTTAGAACAGTGGTCAGCAAACTGCGGCTCACGAGCCACATGCGGCTCTTTGGCCCCTTGAGTGTGGCTCTTCCACAAAAATACCACGGCCTAGGGGAGTCTATTTTGAAGAAGTGGCGTTAGAAGAAGTTGAAGTTTAAAAAATTTGGCTCTCAAAAGAAGTTTCAATCATTGTACTGTTGATATTTGGCTCTGTTGACTAATAAGTTTGCCGACCACTGCCTTAGCATAAAGGATAAATAACAATACAAACTAGTGACTATTTGGAATATTGACTATTCCCTCTCATCTCTCCAAGTATAAATATTGTCTGCAGTTTTAACATACATATCTAATGTATTCAAATATCTCAAAACAAATAAAATCCCTCCAAACATTCATTATGCTTTTTCAGTTACACTGTGAGAATAACACACAGTAATTATTATCCTGCCGTAAAGACACCCCGCCCACGTCGCCCACATCACCCACTTTACACACTGATAGTCTATAATTCCTCTCTTCCCCAGGCCCTTCCGTTGGCTTTCTCTTTAGGAATTACTTTCCAGACTTCATGAGCTTCTGCAGTTCACTTTAGATAATTTAGAAAGAAATGAGACCATTCTTCTAGTACACTCCTGGCTTACACTGCCTAACTCAGGAAGCTACATGGAGATTGCTATTTGCAATATTCTTACTTGTGCCTTCAAGCATCCTGTTCGGCCTTGGCCATTTTTTTTTTTTTCCTCTTTGAAAGCTGTCTTTCCTCCTGAAAACCAGCTCACACGCAAGTCAGAAAGACGTCTACACTATGGCTTCAGGGAAAGTAGATTCTGGATCATTAGAGTGTTTCTGTTTTTTTGAGCAGATACCTGTTCCTAATTGGCCTGAAAACACCAAGCCAATTGAAATGAAAATAATTCAGTCAGATGGACACATCTTTTTGACAAGAATATTTATTTATTATTAAAAAGTACACAAAGGCAAAAAGGTTGCTTAGCTGCTGATCGTCCATAATACAGCAGGGCATTGTAAGATATATCTCGCAGTTTACATTTTTTAAGGCATTTAGGCTTAACAGTAGCAGGCATGCCTAGGTGCCTTTACTTGAGTTTAAATATACTGAGGCACACTAGGCAGGTAAGGAGTTTGAGACTATACAATAAAATACCCATGCACTTGTGTCTTAGGATCGTCTATCTGTCCCCTCCACAGCCCGTCATTCTTTTTTTTTTTTTGCACAAAAGCTTTGGAGTTGTTCATAGAACAATGGTAATAATAGACTTGCTTATCATGACAACCGATGGGACACAACAGAACTATTTCACAGACAGGTTCTGTAGACTCTTACCAAATCGAGGCTCCAGTAAGAAAAACAGCGATTTATAAAGGCACAGTGGAGACAGGTTTAATGCATTAAATATAACACGAATCACTCACAATAACACGTTTAGTTTTTCAGGGAACGTTTGTTAATACAACACAGTTGGTCACACAAAATACAAATGCTTCTGTTGATTTGTCTTGGCAACTCAGATACATCAACAGTGCTAACAGTTTAACAGCTTTGTTCTCATCTGACAGAAAGTAATGGCAGCTCTGCAAGGCAAATGTTAAACCTGACCGTATGTATTTATTAATTCCACAGTGTTTTGACAGATTATAGGGGATGGAACTCAGAGGATGCTGACACGCTCGCTGAGGGCTTTCATCTCCGTTTCCTCAGCCTCAGGACTGTCACCGGGACGGGCACAGGGGTTTACCAGGTGTGGGGGGTACTGCAGCCCCTGCTCGCCTGCGTACTGCTCCCACCGCAGGTCATCGCTCTCGTGGGTGATGTAGCGTTCCCCGGTCTTACACTCCAGCTCTCGTAAGTCTAACCAGGTCTGATAATCCTGATGAAGAAATTCCAAAATATTAGCACAGCGATGATTACAGCTCATTAAGGCACTGTCCTCAGTTCCCACAATGGGGGGGGGGGCGGTATCCCTTTTCCTCTCACTCTACGCCTGTGTGTGACTTCCCTCAGGCACCCTGAAGAGGAGAAGGCAGCAGCAGCACCAAAATCATTCTATTCGCCCGAACTTTACAAACACATCCTGTTCATGTGAGGAGCACCGGAGGGTGGGCAGTAAAGTGCTTGCAGTCCAACAATTAGGAATGTTGGTCTTCCTTTGAGATTTCATGACTGCAAATAATCCTTCCGTATTCCAGAACACTATTTTTCTAAACGTTTAGTTCAACCCTGGCGAGTTTCGCTCAGTGGTTAGAGCATCTGCCCATAGACCAAAGGGTTGAGGGTTCGATTTCCTGTCAAGTGCACATACCTGGGTTGCAGGTTCAATCCCTGCCCCTGTTGGAACACATTGGAGCAGCAACTAATCAATATGCCACTCTCACATCAGACAGATCAATGTTTCTCTTCTACCCGCCCCCCCCACTCTCTTTAAAAATCAATGGAAAAAACATCCTGGAGTGAGGATTAACCATGACAAAACACTAAGCTCAAATTTTAGGATGAAAATAATAGATATTTAAGAGAAAACAAGCATATACCCATGCATGTACGTTTTCCATGCATTTGTTCTGTATTGGCCTAGGGCAGGCTTTAGAGACACAAGTACAAACAAGTACAGGACATGGCCATGTGTGGCCATTTATTTGGGCATTTATCAGAGTTGCACAGACAGATGCTTCTGAAAGTTGGGCCTTAGAGTTTGGTTGTGACCCTTAGATTTATTGATTTTGGTTTGGGTGTGCAAGTGTGGGTGTGATTTTCTTGATAGAGAGGTTTAGAAACACTTAACTTTATTAAGTCCTAAGCAGTTGCATTCATTTTGGCAAACAAATTGATATTAGAATTACACTTTAAAAAATAAGACAAAATATATTTTTTGTGTACAATATCAAAATCTTACAAATATTTAGAAGCTCATCTGACTGAGGATATATCTAATAATTGATTTTTACCTGTAGCCAAGGGTGACTCAAGGTCTTGTCCACACTATAGCGCTTTCTCATTTTTACTTGCAGCAAGTTATTGATAAGATCAATGGCTGAAAAAGAATGTTAGCTATTAGTGAAACCGGATGACAAACCGGGAACATATCATGATTCCTTTATAGCTTATTTCATGTCTGCTATTTCACACAGTCAAGGCAGCACAGCAATAGCAGGCACTAGAACCCAAAGAACATTCATCTTGAGAATTCTAAAACCTTGGCCTTCACTTTATTTTGGGTGCTGAAAAGTGCAATTGGAAACAATCGTGGAGGAAGGAATATGAGTATTTTGTGAATATGATTAAGTTTCATGGTTTAGTCTTTAACACATTTTTCTAAATAGAAGTTTTATTTAAATATGTTTCATTTAAATACATCTTGCACTAATGGCAGGATAAAACTAATATTCAAGAGAAGACATTTACTAACTTTGTGGTAAAATGTGTTTAAATTTAGAATACACACAATGGGATTCGTAGTCTTGAATTTAATGACGGCCATCTGGATACCAGATTTAAAAGGGAAAATATATAAAGCAGAACATGGGTCAGGACTTGTGATAAACTTATAGCCTAAAAACCAGTGGCTCCCCAGGATTAGACTTGTGTCTCTTTCACAGACAAAAAAAAAAAAAAAAAAAAAAAAAAAAAAAAAAAAAAAAAAAAAAGGAAGAAAGAAAGAAAGAAAAGAAAAGTGAATTAACTCCCCAACTTCCCCAATGACCAAGTCCCGAGTCGGGTAGCTCTGGCTCCATTGCTTGGTCTACACCAGCATGCCTGCACCAGAAAATACGGACTGTCACAGGGGTGCAGGGGCCACCTGAGACCAAGATCGTTCATCCAATTCAAATGAACCAGCCTCCTTATCCTTACAGGCAAAGGGAAGTGATTCCTGCCATCTTTCAGTAATCTAAAATTCTCTCTCTGACACGAACATTCTAAATATTGGCCTGCATGAAAAGCTGCAGAATCCCAAACACCTAATTCTTTGACTGAAGAAAGCAAATGCGACAGCCCACACTTAAATGCTGCCTCTGCCTAGACGCCCTGGCCAGAGCTGGGACCCCTGAGGAAACACAGTGCTTAGTACAGTTTCCCATTGCACGCATGTTCTCAGAGAGCTTTCGGAAGTACAGTTCTCTCAGCGAACGGTGTATTGGGCTTGTGCTTTAAAACAGCCATTCACACAATTTACTCACTGGTGAGTAAAGTGCACCTTCCATTCTGGCTGCTGGGAAGTCACAGCACATGGAGGAGGAGGGGTGCAGGGAGAGCGTATGTGCTACGGAGCAGTAAGCTTCCCTGGACACTGCAGGGAATAAATATACTGGTTTGTTATTAGTTCACTTAGTCTGTTTTGAATTCAATAATTAGGAGGGCAGGAGTACAGTAGCTCAACAAAAGGTTGGTTTGTGCCCAAATGGGCCCCAACAGTGAACCACTCTGTTGGGCCTAACGGGGAGGGAAGCACCGCCAGAGGAGAAACGAGAAGTGTCTGAAGGGAACGGAATATGTGAAGATAAAAAAAAAATGGTTCTGCTGAATGAAGCACAGGCAGCAGTGGGGACAGCTGGTACCCAGGTGACCTGAATGCGCACAGCAAGAGGACGATGAGGATCTTGGGAAAGAATGGGTCCAGGACTCAAGGAGAGAATCAGGAAACACGTGTGTGTCTATACATGTGTGTGGGTATTTGTGAACTTACATAACCTATTTTGTGGCTCTCGGCAGAAAACAGAGGTAATGAACTATTGAATGTTGACGCCTGTACTTTAAATGTTGGGAACCTGGTGGTACTGAGGAAATAGGTGCCTCATTCGTGTCTGAAGTTCCATTCTGCTTGTCACTCTTTCTGGAACTCTCAAAACATCTTTTTTACTCATTGTCTTGCACAATCCAGCATTAATCGTACCCTGCAAATGCCTTTCACTAAACCTATTTTTAAAACAAATTCTAAAGTGTGTTTGTTTTCCTAACAATGTTCTGTTTATTGGCCACATTCTTCATACAAACGTATCAATCATTCGTTCACCAAACCTGCCTCAAGAAATTATTGTTGGCAATTACTTAGGGAATAAACAAAAATATCTGGCCTCCTGAAAAGCTCCCAATCTACTTGCAAAGGCAAAACATGCACACACACACACACACACACACACACACACACACACGTACGTAACAATATGCACCGTTTGAGTCTCTGGCCTGTGTCAAGTATCTTGGTATCCTTCTCACTTAATCCACAATTTATTCAAAATTCCTCACAGCAGCTTGAAGAACACCTCTGTTAGTTTCCTCAAAATGCATAATGTCCAGTTCTGAACAGTAATCATATCTCAGAGCTGCCACTGAGGGTCCTCCTGTGACACCTCCATCCTCCCAGGTCTCGCCCCCCAGCAGCGCCCTCCCTGGGAGAAGCTTCCACACTCAGGGGGCGAACCCAGGTGCCTGGGAGCAAAGTCTATAGCAATCCCAGGGGAAGCTGACCATCAAAAAACTCCAAAACTCAAATGGAGACTCAGAATTCAGAGCGAGATGGAATGTGGTAGGGCACGCCTTTAAGACTGTGGCAACACAAGGGGGAGAGGGAGAGACCATGGGAGAGACATAAAATTGGGTCATTCTGTGAACTTCTCTCAAAAACAACCCAAAGGAAGAAGTGCCTTGGCAGCGGGACTCGGAGGAAAGAGGAGGACTGCAGCAGAATGGAAAGTCAGAGAGAAGGCAGCCTATGGCACAGCACACAACAGGAAGCTTGTGCCCACGAGGAGGGCGAGGACTGCAGAAACCCCAGGCTCCCCGAGAACAGGAACAACACAGGCAGTGCCCGGTCCTCCTCCTCTTTGTAGAAAACATGATGCCAACGTTTACAGAGAGGCAGAGAGGGGCAGAATTATTTTCTGATTGAACCTGCCCAGTTATTCTGGGAGTTTGCTTTTCTAATGCTATTCCGAGAGTTCTGTTATTCATCCTTAAACTCAATCTCATCTTCCCATGTTATTAGTAAATTGTTGTATATCTGAGTTTTCTCAATACCGTGGATAGCCATATTAGGCAACCTGAGATGTTTTTCCTTTTTCTTTTTTATTGAAAAAAATTTCAAGAATTGTATGGTTCAGTTTTTCATTTTTAAAGAATTTACTCTCCCTCACGAGCAGAGAGTTTTATGCTTTCTAAAATGGATCCACACTCATGTTTCCTCTAAATAAAAGAAAAGAGAAAAATAAAAGAAAATCTGTATTTTGAAGCCTAATGTTTCTTTTCTTGCTACAGCAAATTATTGCCTAACAAGAAGCTGGGACCATGAATTTGTGCACAAGTGGGGTCCCTCAGCCTAGCAGGATTGGGCCGAAACCAGCTCTCTGACATCCCCTGAGGGGTCCCACATTGCTAGAGTCACACAGGCCCAACCAAGGGACCCAACCAGTGCATGATTGGAGCCAGGAGGGACGTAGAAGGTTGGCTAGCTGGGGAGGGACTGCAGGAGTGCTCCAGGGCATGTCTGTCTCATCTCCCTCAGTTCCGATTGGCAGGACCCCAGCAGCGAGCTAACCATTGCTGGAGCATCTGCCCTCTGGTGGTCAGTGCACGTTATAGCGAGCAGTTGAGATGCCTTAGCATATCATCAACATACTATGCTTTGATTGGTTGAATGGACAACTGGATGACTGGACACTTAGCCTATTAGGCTTTTATTATATAAGATACAGTATTTTCCTCTAACTTCCTGTATGTCAGTTTCTGTTGTTGTCGCATCAGTTGAAAGACTGAAATGTTAGGAAAGTGAAGAGAAAATTTTTTATCAAAATGCTCCCTTTTTACCGGAACAGGCCTTTCAACAGATGTTGGGATAGCTGAAGTTCTGGGTAGCCTGTTTGCCAGGTGCACAAGTACATCTGAACAAAAACAAAATTAAAGAGTACATGCAGGTGCGGAAGAGCTTTATGTTTTAATATGAAAAGAAACATTTTATCAGAGTGTTAATTGTATGGATTCCATTTTCTTCTGGTATCAAGTACAGAATTATCTCTGCAACTGTGGAAACTACATTGCGGTCATTCTCTATTTCAAAGCAAATGCCATGTGTATGGACACAATAGAGTCTGTGTATGTAGAAGGCTCATTTGCATGTGCCATTGCACCCAAAACTTGGAGAAAATCCTACAAAAAGAATGGAACTGAACATATTTGGATACATACTCAGTCCCTCTGGTTACATCCCTCCGTCCCTCCACCATTCCCCACCGTTCACTAGTTCAGTACAAGCCTATCTCCCCGTCTTCTCCCCAATGGATTTCAGCTCCTTTAAGGCCAGGCAGATTGTGCATTTATTTTTGCACCAGTGTTTCACAAATATTTAAAATAAAATACATCATTTAATGCATTAGAAAAGTGCTTGTTAAGTAGCATTTGGTAGACAGACTACACTAATTAGAAACTTAAGTAACCATTTTCTCTGCTCAGAGTTTTAATATCCATATTATGTGCATATGGTTTGTACATTTTCGCTAAAAATACTCCTGGATGGTAGGACATCACAACTCCACACAATATAACAGATCACAGGATCAGTGACTTCTGTTGGAAAATTAGAGCAATGCTGAGAATATATGCAATACAAATTGGATTTATTTTACAACGTTTATTCTACAGAAGATAAATTATTGGTGACCCTCTGGGGCTAACCTGTTTTATCCAGACACAGTACTTTTTACTTTTATTTTTTCCATACTGTCTTCGAATGCAAGTTATTCATGTACAAATCTACCTATATAAAACTCTAATATGCAAATAGACCAAACGGCAAAACAACCAAACAACGGGTTGCTATGACGTGTGTGTGATGACGAGGAGTCTGCAGAACGTGGCGGGCATTGGCCACAGTGGGATGATGGAGCAAGTGAACAGAGACACCAGATAAGGTGGGGTGCCGGTCACTGTCATCAGGGCAAGCCTCTGGTGATTTCTGAAAATTCTTTGTTCTCAAGTGCCGTCGTGGTCCCAGGCAGTGCTCACACCTGCTCCCAGCGCAGGCCCTGCTCAGACCCGCGCCCA